CTCCTGTGTGTTGAGCCGTGGTGGTGATGCACCTATGTTGGGTCCAAAGTTGGTCTGAAAAACGACGAAAAAAGTTGCACTTATTCGTAAGAGGTTGGCTACTGCCCAAAGTCGTTAGAAAAGTTATGCCGACTATTGGAGGAGACCCTTGTCTTTTGAGACGGGAGATCATGTGTTCTTGAAGATATCCCCTAGGAGAGGTTTGATGAGGTTTGGAAAGAATAGGAAGTTGTCCCCTTGGTTCATTGGGCCTTTTGAGATCCTTGAGAGGATTGGAGAGGTAGCTTACTGTTTGGCCTTACTGTCACAGTTTTCCGAGATACATGATGTGTTTCATATTAGCATATTTCAAAAGTATAAGCTGGATCCATCGCATGTGTAGGATTGGACCAACTTAGAGGTAGATGAGGATGCCTCATATAAGGAGAGACTGGTGAGAGTCCTGGATACTCGGGACCAAGTCTTGCGAGGCAAGATAATTCCCTTGGTTAAGGTATTGTGGAAATATCACAGGGTTGATGAAGCAACTTGGGAACGTGAGTTGGAGGTTCGTAAGAAATACCTGAACTTGTTTGTTGATGTTTGAACATGTAATGGAATTTTGTTATGTTAATGAAATATGAAAACATTGTATATGTTTTGGAAATATGAAAACGTTGTATATGTTTTGGAAATATGAGAACATTGTATATGTTGTGTATGTTTTGGAAACATGAATTTAGTGTAAACATTGTAAATGTTTTGGGAAATGTGGATTTTACTTTCAATATTGGGACTTGTGTATCAAGTTAATGAAAATAGATGACTGGAGAATGGATCATGGTATGGAAATTGATTATCTATCGTTATTGTGTTTGGTTTAAACATAGCTGTGAAACTTGATTTGAAATTTCAGGGACAAAATTCTTTAAGGGGATAAGGTTATAGCGACTCCGATTTTGACCCAACCCTTGTTGTAATCTGGATACAGGTTTCTTGGTTTCGTATTATTGAACATGTCTTGCTTACTTTCTTTTCCCTTAAACTTGGCTATGGGATAGTTGTGGTTGTGTTTGGAACAAGTTGGTTGTTCGGTTTCCTAACTCTTGTTGCCCAGAATTTTGCTTTTTCGCTTGAGCGGCACTTCTTGCGCTCGAGCGGGCTTTGCAAACTCTCAGTACTTTTGCAGGTTTGCAAAACTACTAGGAGAGTGTATTCTACGCTCGAGCGGCGTTTCTTACACTTGAGCGGGTGTGCGCTCGAGCAGCCATTCTTGCGTTCGAGCAATGTTCTTCTGTCTGTAAAACTACTAGATGTGTGTATTCTGCGCTCGAGTAGTCATTTCTTGCACTCGAGCAAAACAACTTATTGTGTTTGACACTTTGATGCTCGAGCGGACTGTTCGTATGTCAGTTCGCAACAGCCTCCTTTTACATCACTTTTTCATCTCTTTTTCTCTCAAAACCCTAGATCGGGACCCTCTCTCTATAAAACCCATCTTCTCTCTACATTTTCACCTAGATCCATTGGTTTCTCTACCCGTGTGCCTTTGATAAAAAGGTAGACTGTCTCTAGAGCTCCATTTTGATCCGAGTAGAAGTTGGTTTCGGCGTCTTTGAAGTTCCTCCATTGTTGCCTTGGTCATCTAAGCTTGAGGTAGAGACTTTCTACACTCTCTATGCGTTTTAACTTGTTTGTTCTTTGATGTGTGAAAAACATTGGGTGTTGAGGTGGTTTTAACAAACCTAGGGTTTGGGGTTTAAATTCGAAAGAGGGGTTTTCAAATGGATGTCTTAGAAATGGTTATGGGAATGAATATGTCCTTGGGTTATGTTAAAATGGTTGATTTTTGGTGATTGGGATAAGATTGGAATAAAGGGAGTTTTGCCCTAAAATGCCTTGAATAATTTATCTGTTGAGAAGATTGTATATCTATTTAAAAATATCTGTTTTGGGCTATTGGTGGAGGATAGCTATGATTGTTGTAGAAATTGCATGAGGATTAGGTAAATTGAAACTAATTCCTTATTGGTTATCATTGAATATGACTGTGTTTTAATACATTGTATATGTATGATGTTTGAGAGGAGAAAGGTGATGAACTTTACTAAATTAAGTTGGCATATGTGTCCTGGGTGCAAGTCCCGCAAACCGCAGGTATATATGGGTGCCGATCCCGCCGATCCAGCAGATGAAATTTTCGTAAAATGGAAAAGTGAAGTGTTTGTGTGGTAAGCAAACCACTGAGTTGTAATCTTAGTTGGGTCTTCTAGATTACAATGGATATGACTCATGAATTGAGGAGATATGAAATGAGATGAAACGAATTGACATAATATGGTTTTGGAAAAAAAGTGTTGAATGATTTTATCCTTGAGCATTGGTCATGTGCATCATGTTTATAACCTTGTTAAAGTTCATATATTGTGTTAGATTGTTTCTGTTAGGCTTTGGCTCACCCTATTTGGGAAAAACCATTTTCAGGTGCCGTTGATATGCCTCCCAAGGGCTTAACTTGGGAGGATTGTGGAGCTGAGAGCTCACTTTGATTATTTTGTATTGACTTTTGTACAAACTTAGGGTTTCATTTGTATTGAGCTTCCAACTCATTTTGTTGTAACCAAGTATCGTCTTGGAAATTTGTAAGCCCATAGGGCATTTATTTCGTTGATCATTTAGTTTGGTGCCACATGCTATAGATTCAGGGTAAAGCTTATAAATGTGTAATGCATGTGCCCTTTTTGTAAATTGACTCTGATTAGTGAAAGCCTAGTACTTTATTTATGTCATTTTGTATTAGTCTTTACTGTTGAATTATTGTATTATTTTCGAGGCGTTATATTAAAGAAACATTAAATAGCTCTAACTATTAATAGGTACCAAAAATATATTGTTCAAATCCGCCGTAGCACAATCTTTTGATTGTGCATTTATAAGTACAAAAGGAAAACAAGAGGTATGGAGTTTCAAAAGAAGAATAATATCAAACAATACTAAATTTTCAAAAGGAGTATGAGAAGTAATTGACCTTAGATATATTTTATTGGTACAAAGGAACATGAAACCTGTTATAGGAAATAAACACGTTCTAGATGAGAAATCAACAATTATGCATGAAAACAACAATATTTTGAATACTCCTCTTGTCCCAAAATATTAGTCTCTTATTCCATTTTTTATTGTCCTAAAATATTAGTCCATTTTCAAAAATCAAGGACTAAAATAATATAAATTTTCTATTTTATCCTTCTTTTAAATTCATTAACAACACAAAAAGTACAATTATGACAATTGATATTGCCAAAAAAATGTACTATCAAAGGGTAATTTTGAAAAATTAATATTTTTAAAGTATAATAATTGTACTACCAAAAAAGTTAGATTCTCCAAAAGTGACTATTATTTTGGAACGGAGGGAGTATTTTATTTTGGTATAAAGAAGACCTTAACCAAACAAAATACAAACACACCTAAAAATACCCATACAGAGATGTCCCAAATTAACGTGTACATCTTTAGACAAAAAATAAAGCCATTAAATTAACTAGAGGTAAAAAAAAATAAAATAAGATTTGCCACTACATAATCCAAACCAACATTATATTGAATACACTTAAGCCAAACTTAGCTATATAGTTCTCAAGAATAAAAATATTGGAAATGCAACAAAGTCCACATTGGTGGAAAGCTTTACAAAAAGTGGGTCATAGCTATCGTCTATTGTATAAAATGTGTATACTTTACAAAATTATTTGTTCTTTGCCACAATTCTTACGAACGCCTCATCAATTTCCAAAAAGTCTTCATATTAACTTGTATGTATATCCCCAATAAGGCTGAAGCAAAACAATCTAGTAATTTATGAAAATGATAAAATTAGTATAATAGTATGAAATATGCATATTAGAATAATTTGAAACATAAATTACCTCAGCACATTGCCATCAAAGCAATCTAACTTAGGGGTGGGTGCGGGTCGGTTGTGGCAATGAAACCTCCAATCCGCCATCCGTCCGCCAGATTGGCGGATTGGAGAAAATCAATCCGCATCCGTCCGCCAATTCAGCGGATGTGGATTGAGCGGATTGGCGGTTTGGCGGATGGATGCGAATCGGTTTGGCGGTTTGAAATGTTATAAATTTTCAACATAGTTCAACTTGTGCACTTCCTCAAAAAAAATAAAATAAAATGAAAGTATTACAGTCAATGACTTAAAAAAGTATTACAATTACTACATGCCTGATCCAAAGAAAGAAAGTTTGAAACTTTAGAATATCACAATCACTGCATGCCTCATCTACATATTACAATCACAGCATGCCTTATCCACATAAAATATTACAATCTGTGGTTCTTAAAATATAAAAACAATTCAAACCACCAAAACCATGAATAGAGCAATAGTAGAGATTGTATGTCTCTATATTGTTACATTTATATATGTTTTTGAAAACAAAACCAACCAACATATATCACATTTTCTATTTATTACTTTTAGAGTTAGATTTTAAAATCAAAAAATATAGATAAATAATACGTTTATTTTTTTCAATTCAAAAAATATATTCAAGTTGAAAACTTTTTTTCAACAGAATATTCGAACTTTTTTCAATTGAAAACACAAACAAAATATTTAAACAAATTGAAAACACAAAGGCTTATAAATTATTAAGGATGCTCACGGTTTAGCGGTTCGATTGCGGCCAAAGGAACCTCAAATCTGCCATCCGTCTGCCAAATTAGCGGATTGGAGAAAATCAATCCACAATCGTCCACTCGTCATCACGCATCCGTCCAAAATGAGGCGGGTCGGGTCGGGTCGGTCTGTTTTGGCAGATCAGTATATCCGCTGCTCATCCATAATCTAGCTATACTTATCCTTTTCAGCTCCAGAGATTTTACAACCCAATCCTATAAAGTCCATATAGCCAGTTAAATAAATAAACAAAAATAATCAATATAAATAAAATAGTTATTAAATTGTACCCTTTGCTAAAAAGTGATTTGATCCCAACAAATCACTATAACAAAACTTCAGGATAAACAATATTTGTAGTGGAATCTGGCTCATCCTTAGAGCAGAGAATACTTATACGATCAAAAGATGTGCATCTGAATAATACCACGTATAGTTGCCCATGACTAAAAATAAGCATGCGCAAATCAATCCCAACAAATTTCACAGATTGTCTTTGAAATTTATTGATGGTCAAGGTGTATGCCAATTGAACTGAAAATTGACGTCTTGTCATTCGGAAAGGCATTTTTGAAGAAAACAGATTAATGATATCCTTGGTATAAATGCCAAATTGCCAAACTTCTATCCAGTTAAGATTTGAACTTCAATTATGTGAGTGTCGCACCTTGAAACCATCAATCTTGTGCCGATACACAGTCCATCTTTCGATGCAATGTTTCTTAGTAACATTATAGGACAACTCACTTTCAACTCTACCTTAAAAGCTGGTAGCCCATAAGGATCTAATGAATTTAAATACTCATTAGGATATATGTTTGTAATGGAAGGATCAATTTTATCATCTTCAGCAATCTTATCTGTAGCAAGATAAGTATATGTATTCCCTGGAAAAATATTCAATGCGGCATTATTGATAGCACTGACATCATCATTCCGTGCATAAAGGATTGTGCAATCAGTTAAGAATGATGGGGTTGATGTATTTGCCATAACTAATTGTGGATAAATTGTTGAGAGTAATTCCTTTAGGTCTTAGCATTTGTGTATTGTTGATGGAATTTTAATGATTTCTTGCAGATTGGTCCCAACCTAATGTAGACGCGCCCGCGTGGGCCTCGCTACGGTTCGGACTCGATTTGTGTCACGGTTCTTAATCTGAACCAAAGAGTCCAAATCTGGCAAATCGACGAACACAATCATGGATGATCACCGAGTGTTCAAACGGTGACGTCCAAGTCTTGAGGACGGTCAAAAATGGGGTGTCTACACCTAATAAATAAAAAAAATTAAAAAAAAATGGTGTAAACAAAGTATCCTAAATTTGAAGCACCATTTGATAAGGAAACAGTTTAAATGAGTATTACCTTCATCAAGAATTTTGCAAAAATAGCATTTCCCAGGTTTGCATGATTCAAGCACATATTCAATATAAAGATAAAACATGTATATTCTTCCACAAAACTAAGTGTCTCAATGATGCATTCACAATTTACTCACGAACTCCTTTGGTTATAACTAGTAAGATTTGTCAAAAGTCTCCACTAAGAACAACAGTGATACCCCTAAATGGCTTTTCACTATCACAAATATCTTGAAGTGTGCGATTAACCGCCTCAACAAATATCTATGTTGCATAGGAACTTCATCCAAAATATGAGTTTTGTTTCTCTAAACAATTCAACCTGTAATGATTGCTTGCTAAACCTGCAAACTAAATTTTCCAAGACATCCAATGAAATGGAAAATGTTGAATGTGCAGTGCGACCTCCTACTAAGAGCAATGATGCAATTCTAGATAAAGCCACGGTAATAACAATATGGCCAAGGCTACGACATTTTAATGCAAACATATTGTACAAAAATGTTTTTCCCATTCCAACACCCCCATTCAAAAAGAAAATAATCCCTTTACTTTCAAAGATTGAACAAGTAATTGCATTATAAGCACTTCATTGTCCATTATTGAGGCGATCAATAATAATTTGTACATCTGTCTGTTGTGCCTCATTCTGTAGTTATTGATGTTTGAATATCAATTGGTTACCAACTGTTGCACTCCAATTTGCTGTAGGTTGTGGCAAGGGCGGGAAGTCAATTAAACTCTTCCCTGATTCTTGAAGCATTTGATTTAAAAGATATAAACCACAATCTTCAATTTGAGCCTCAATTGGATTAGAAATGGCAAACAATGTACGAATCTTATATGCAAGATCATCACATATATGCATTGAAAATTGATTCCATAACGTATGTGGTTGTAGTAGAAAAATTGGGTGAGAATAATACAAAACAATCTCCTCAATTGATATCCGGTTTTCATAACTGCAGCCTCTTTCAGGCATTGTATCCATTCTTCATCATCTTCTAAGAGTTCTCTTGTAACACATGCTGATTTAAACGTATCATGCAAAACATTGTTAATTGTATGCAAACATTGAAACAATCTTGGCCCTTTGACAACGGTTAACAACAAACGCAGATAAAATCTTTTACCACAGTTAGGGCTAACAAATTACATTCTACCAATTGCATATCCATGTTCTCTTGGTTTCCATCTATTTTCTGACTTGAGCCAAACAAAATGTTGCAAAATTTCTTGGTAAGTGAATGGGCATTCATTTTCAATGGAAGCGCAACATTAAAAAAACCCAATAAAAGTCTACTTTTGTTGTGCAGCTCTATAAAGAATAATTTTCAATGAGTCATTAGGATTGAAAAGAACATGTTGCATTCCAGGTAGATGAAGTGCTAAGCGAACAACTGTTGGTATCTCTGTATGCAAATGATGACCGAATATTGCCAAGAAGCTTGTAGTGGTCCAATATACCTCGCATCGAGATATTGTTGGATCTCATTAATCAATCCCAAAACCATTGTTGTGCGATTATAACCCTTATAAATGTACTTGTGTATATACTTAACACATCTCACTCCAGCATAAACTTTTACATTTATATGACAGTTGAACCGTTTAGAAAGATATACATTGTATGGTACCACATCTTTGTTATCAACTTTTTGTCCTCTCACAATATATACTTTACCACTATTGTGACGATGATAGATTGGATATCCATCTTGGTCCATAGTTGTTGATTCTGCAAAGGCTTGGGGGTATTTCTTAGTGCATCTATCATTTTCTATACATGGTGCTTGGGGATTTCGAGCACCACATGGTCCATGTACCATGCAACACTTAATAGTTTCAAATTGTGTAGGATCATCTTTTGGATCTGGAAATTCTGCACAAACTAATTTGTCTACTTAAGTACATGTTCGAATTTTGTTTGGACCTTCAAAGAAGAGAAGCACATACATATGTGGTAGGCCTTGATTTTGGAATTCAATTCTAAAAACATTTGCAACTTTATTATCGAACACTTTGTTTGTTTTTATCTTCTTCATCGAACAGTTTCTTTTTAGCTCAAAAACATTTGCAATATTTTTGCTTTTTTTGGTTTGATTTTATTAAAGTTTTTTTTAACATTTATTTATAAATGTTTTACTTTTAAAAAGTATCTAAATTAGATGATCTAAAAAAATTTACCAAAATATTAAAAAAAAAATTACTAAAAATAAAAAATCCATATTAAAAACTTAAAATCAAATAGAGTGTTTCACATTCGGGTTTTGTTTGGTAAAAAAATTAGGGCTAAAATTAGTCACTAAAAGACAAAATAGGTTAAAAAGTTAATAAGATAAAATATCACATCTAAATCATAATCATTTCAATTTTCTCTCACAAAAGTCAAAAAAGCCAACTTAAACAAACTTTTTAGTTCTAAACTAAAATAGCCAAAAAGACAACAGAAAAAGCCAATTGCCAAACAACAATCATTTATTGTGTTTTTGCTTAGTTCTCCAAGTGTTGTGCACTATTTTGTTCCTACATATAACTATTTTTGCTTTATTTAAATACATATAATTTTTTTTATATTTTATATTGAGTGTCCAGACCAGCTTACTCGCACCTTGACTAATCCCGGGGACCAATGCTACGGCCCATTTGCGAGGGGCCTTATTTAAAGCCAGAGTAAATGTTGGCCCCAAAGATCTTATTACAGCTAGTGTGTAATGAATCTTAGACCTGGAGGGAGCATATTGTAGGCTCCAAGTTGTCCCCACTAAGCCAACCCCTTAAGATTTTAAATACATATAAGAATGATTTTACTTACATCACTATTTTGCCTCTTTATACCCTCCATCTCATTACACTACTAAAAAAAAATGTGATTCTCATTACACCTATTATATTATCAAAACTAACCCTAAAGTAAGACTCTTCAAAAACCCTTTCATCTCTTTATACCAATAGTTTTTGGAGGGAAAATAAGGGAACAGAGAAAGACGCAGCAAGGGGAAAAAGAAAGACGAAGGGAAGATAGTGAGTGGAGCCCACAGCGAAGTGTCTGTTCAGTCACACAGTGTTAAACAATTTATATTCCTTTGGTGTTATGTTGTCGGAAAAAATAGATTTCTCCAACGTTTTGTTGCTATATATTTACAGAGCCACTTTTTTTTTCAAACAACGATTTTTAAATTTGTGCCGGGCCTGTTCGATAATACAATGCTAATGAATTTGAATTAATTCAGTGCCATATTACTAGACAAAAAAATTTTCCCCAACAATATGTTGTCGTTTGATTAGATGATAACAAGAAATTAATTCGGGGCCACTTGTGAAGTACCTGTTCGGTGATACATTGCTATACAAATTAAATTACTCTAGTGTCATGTTGCCAAACTATAATAGATTTGTCTAGCCACCTATCGCTATACGTTAGAAGATTTACTTTTTTCTTCAAACATCCATAAAAAATTCCATAAATCAAACACGCATCCATAAAATCATACATAAAAGTATCAATAAAAATATTTATAAAAATATCAAGTGTACGAACATTCATAAAAGCATCTATAAAATCCATCATTGTTTGCATTCATCAATCAAACATGTTATCACAATTCATCTATATTGATAGTTTCAGTAGTTACTATATTAGGGTTGACAAGCGTATGAAATTGATGAATACAGGTAGTATATGCTTTCTCTTATCTACAAGCACATGGGTGATGAAAATGAATCCAATTATTTGCCATCGGAGATACTGGATGACCAGGTTGTAGATAAACTTATAACAAAGACATCAATAAGTAGAATTGCAAAATAAGACATGGTAATGGTCTAAGTAGGCTCAGTAGTTTATACCTGCATGAAATGGTTTCTATTTACAAATCCTATACAAATATCTCTTTGATCAGGTGTTGCAATCGGTACTAATCTAAGTGGTAGTAATGTCAAGCACTATTGCATGGATAAATGATAAAGAACGACTAGATAGTATGATGCTATCAAATGGCTTATGTCGGGCATAGTCATCCAATGATTAAATCCATGGCTAGATTCGAAGTAGGATAAAATAGAGGTAAGGCCATCAACCTTTTCCTATGAACCAAATAGTTGCACATAGTGCACTACATTCGAATGCAACTCAAGTGTAAGTCTTGATTTTCTGCCATTACCTCTCGCATTTGATGTCTTTATAACAATGACAAAATCTAGTCTTCTTAGCATCAGAAGCCCATTTAATTAATGCTTGACAACTACTAAAAATCTAAAGATAATAAATACATTTATATGTCAAATCATTAATAAAACTCAATACAAATTAAAAATAAGAAAAGATAGTATTCCTAAAAAAAACTTAACATACATCGTCTATAATGAATTCATGACTGGAATTCACTAATAATGGAGTACTTGCATTGTTGCAATAAGTAGAAGCATAATCATTCCAAGCAAAAAAAAAAAAAAAATACAAGGTAATGAGTAGCCGAACAAATTAAAAAAAATCCGCCCTGGGTTATCGGAAATGTATTATTTACTCGACAGTTGGTTACTAGACATATATTTTTTATTCGGCAATGTGATGTTGGACTATTTTATTTTGTTCGATTTCGAAATACCGAACAAAATTCGAAGAATAGCC